ATACACAGTTTCATTCACGCACACTGCTCATTTCTCGTGACACTGTCAGTTTGAGTTGAGTACTCAAATAGTCATATCACTTGCAATAGATTCTCTCTCTCTCACTAAACTCAAAGTCTCTTTCTCTCTTTTCAGAAACTCCCAACACACTTTCTTTCTATAGGAAGGACTAGGACATTAGCAAAAAAACACCACACCTGGCCCATGTAACCAGTTGCCTAAATCAATGTTGTTTTGTACCCCTTTTCCCTTTTTCCTATTTTTTGTCCTTAAAACTGTATCTTTTCTTTTTCCCTTCTCTGCTACCTTAATTAAAGTTTGTTTCAGCAACTTATTTCTTCTTCTGAATTAGTCTGTTCTGTTTGTTTTTTCTTTTCCACATGGGGTTCATTCACTTCTTTGTTGCTACATTTTCTTTCTGAATAAATATTAAAGCTTACAGCTTTATTGTTCTGTTCCATTTCAAGATTCCTGAAACGGCTCAATTCCTTCAAAACAATCACTTTCTCTAGTTTGAATATTTTTTCTTTTTTTCTCCCCTAATTGTCTCAAAAAGACTTCCCTTTTATGTTTATTTAGCTTTTATGATTGGGTTCTAGCATTTTCTTCCTAATGGATTCTTGATTGTTCCATTTCTATTTGGGGAAGAAATTAAAGAGAGCGTTTTCTTGAAAAACAACCCAAAAATGGAAACTTTGAGGTTGTTCACTGCTTTGTTAGTTGGTTTATTGTTAAGTTCTCAACTTGGTAATTCCCAGGTTCTTCTTGAAAAGGCCATTGTAGAAGCAATTGGTAAAGAGCTAGCAATATCTGTGTGGGATCTGAACACCTCTAATTTCTGCTCTTGGCATGGCATTAGTTGCAGCTCAAACAATTCTATGGTGGAAAGGCTGAATCTTTCTGGTTTTCGGTTACAAGGTAATGTGACTCTAATATCTGAGCTTAAAGCATTGAAGTGGCTGGACCTTTCTAACAACAATTTCCATGGCTTAATTCCATCAGCATTTGGGAATTTGTCTCAACTTCAGTTTCTTGATTTGTCTTTTAATATGTTTGGAAACTATATTCCTGCTGAATTTGGTAGGCTCAAGAACCTTAGAGCATTGAACCTTTCAAACAACTTGCTCACTGGTTCAATACCTGATGAGCTTCAAGGGCTAGAGAATTTGCAATATTTCCAAATATTTACTAACAAATTGAATGGTTCTATTCCAATGTGGGTTGGGAATTTGACCAATCTTAGAGTGTTTGCTGCTTATGAGAATGAGTTTAGTGGTGATATTCCAGTTAATTTAGGATTACACTCAGAGCTCTTGTTGTTGAATCTTCATTCAAATCAGTTTGAAGGGACAATTCCTGAGAGTATTTTTGCTATGGAGAAGCTTGAATTTCTGATCCTGACTAATAATAAATTGACTGGCATTATTCCTGACTTAATTGGGAATTGCACAGGCCTTTCAAACATTAGAATTGGGAATAACAAGCTCATAGGTGGCATCCCTAAAGCAATTGGAAATATCACTAGTCTTACTTATTTTTAGCAGATAATAACACTCTCTCTGGAGAGATTGTCTCAGAATTCGCGCACTGTGTTAATCTCACTCTTCTTAATTTAGCTTCGAATGGATTTTCTGGAACTATTCCTCCTGAGTTTGGCCAGCTCAACAATCTGCAGGAGTTGATTGTTTCTGGAAATAACTTGTTTGGAGAGATTCCAACATCAGTTCTTAGGTGCAAGAATCTCAACAAGCTTGACTTAAGTAACAACAAATTCAATGGAACCATACCGGGAGATATATGCAACACATCCAAGTTACAGTTCTTGCTGTTGGGACAGAACTCATTGAAAGGGGAAATACCTCGTGAGATTGGGAACTGCGTAAAATTGCTTGAGTTGCAAATGGGGAGTAATTATCTTACTGGAAGCATCCCTACTGAGATTGGTCATATGAAGAACTTACAAATCTCATTGAATTTGAGTCATAATCATCTCCACGGCCGGTTGCCCAAGGATCTTGGAAAACTTGACAAGGTGGTTTCCTTAGATGTATCTAATAATCAGCTCTCAGGGAATATTCCATTGGAGTTGAAGGGCATGCTGAGTTTGATAGAGGTTAACTTTTCAAACAATCAATTCACAGGCCCTATACCTACTTTTGCACCATTTGAGAAGAGCCTAAATTCAAGCTTTCTTGGAAACAAAGGGCTCTGTGGTGAGCCTTTGAGTAGTGATTGTGGAAATATATATGGTTATGAGCACAATGGTTACCATCACCGAGTTTCCTACCGGCTCATTTTGGCTGTTGTTGGTTCTGGTTTGGCAATTTTTGTATCCGTGACGTTGGTTGTTTTACTATTCATGATGAGGGAGAAACAAGAGGAAACCACCAAGGAAGCTGGAAATACCACTGATGAAGTTTGTAGCAAACCGGTGATCGTAGCAGGGAATGTTTTCATTGAGAATCTCAAGCAAGCAATAGATTTTGATGCAGTTGTAAAAGCAGTCAGGAAAGATTCAAATAAGATTAGCACGGGCACTTTCAGCAATGTGTATAGAGCAGACATGCCTTCTGGGATGATTTTGTCGGTTAAGAGTTTAAAGTCAATGGACAAAACTATAATTCATCACCAGAACAAAATGATCAGAGAGCTTGAAAAGCTAAGTAAACTCTGTCATGATAATCTGACTAGGCCTATCGGGTTTGCAATCTATGAAGACGTCGTTCTACTCTTACATCAATATTATGCCAATGGGACATTGGCTCAGTTTCTTCATGAGTCTAGCCAGAAACCTGAATATGAACCTGACTGGCCGACGAGACTTTCCATTGCCATTGGAGTTGCAGAAGGGTTAGCGTTCCTTCATCACGTGGCCATAATCCATCTTGATATTTCTTCAGGGAATGTGTTTCTTGATTCTAATTTCAGGCCTTTGGTTGGTGAAGTTGAAATATCCCGACTTCTTGATCCGTCTAGAGGGACTGCAAGTATCAGTGCTGTTGCTGGCTCATTTGGATACATTCCTCCAGGTATTCTATGGCTCGAAAGACTTAGCTAATAACTTTTATTTTTATTTTATTTTTCTGGAAGTTATACTTATGGTGTCTTGACTAATTCCTTTTCTTCAACAGAGTATGCCTATACAATGCAAGTAACAGCTCCCGGAAATGTCTATAGCTATGGGGTTGTTTTGCTCGAGATCCTTACATCTCGATTACCCGTTGATGAAGCTTTTGGTGAAGGAGTTGATTTGGTCAGGTGGGTTCACGGTGCATCTGCAAGAGGAGAAACACCAGAGCAGATACTCGACGCAAGGCTTAGCACCAATTCTTTTGCTTGGAGGAAAGAAATGCTTGCAGCTCTAAAGGTCGCATTAATGTGCACCGACACCACTCCAGCAAAACGACCAAGAATGAAGGTGGTGGTAGAGATGCTTCAAGAGGTTACACAAAGTTGAATCCAAAAGTCTCTTTAATCTCAGACCTTCAGATCAGGAAACCCTGCAAAATTATATGAAATTCACTGTTCTTTGCCCACAGGACAAAATAGTTAAAACTCTGTATATTGGCTGGGGTTGCCATTGTAATTTTGATATGACATTAGAGAGAACAAGGAGAGTTTAGATGGGGAGGGTAAAAGCCAGAAACAGTCCTTGATATGGTTGTGATATGTACCATTTTGTACTAGGTCTCTAATCATATAGAGTTCTTTTTCTGCAGCATATGTAAATGGAGGTGTGGCATATCAAATTTTCTTTTTGAATATCTTTTTCATCCTGCTGCTGCTTCTGGTGTATTATCGTCTATCGACTATGGAAACAACAGTCCGTCTGGCCTCTTTAGATGTTTTAGTATACTGCTATCTCAAGTTAAGTCTGCTATTTCTTGCTATGAGGATGATGCTGGTACACAAGCTGTTCAATTGTTAAAAAAACCATTTCCGCATTCATCGTATTTGGAGATGTATGAATTTTTTCTCCAGGAAATCTTAATCTGAAATGGATGGACTTCAGCTAAAAGTGTACCGTCTAAATTGTATACAGAGAATCAAGAAGAGTGTCAGCTGGAAAAGAGGGAGGGGTGGATTTCATTATCATCTCAAAAGATTATCTCAAGTACCAAAAGATCCTAGCTCTAGAATCAGGGAATTGTGTACACTTAACTGAAGAGCTATGCATTTGAAAAAACAGACAATGCAAATCAAATTGGAAGTTATAACACGTTGTGTTAGAGAAAAGTAATTAAAAGACAAGTACTTTGCAATAAATAATATTCCATCCGTTTCAATTTATGTGAACATATTTTCTTTTTAGTCCGTGCAAAAAAGAATGACTCTTTTTCTTATTTGGAAACAATTTACCTTTATGCAATGATTTATAGCCCCGCAAAATATACGTGACTCATTTTACACCACAAGTTCAAAAGTTTTCTCTCTTTTCTTAAACTCCATGTTCAGTCAAATGTGTTCACATAAATCGAAACGAAAGGAGTATTGTATCCCGTCTTTTCAAGCTTAGTGCTTGGATTAGTCCCTTTCTAGTAGGTCTGGTTTCTCATTTGTTAGAACAAGCATTTACATTGGTTTTTTTAAAATTGAAAAACATTCTGCATCTTGACACAATTGAGAAGAATTCTGGGGTCCAGAGCTGCTTTTTTTTTTTTCCAATCGAGACCTGTTTCAAAGGATCTTTCCACAAAGTCAAGACACTCGACTATCTGAATTTCTTCTAGCAAGCAGGGTAATTAGTTGTTCTAGTGAGCAAAATCATCAAGAAAATGCTTTAATTGTTGGAATTGGCCTTCCTAAGTAGACGTATCAATAGTTGCTTTTTAATGGTGGCCACAACCTTGACGGTACAACTAGTCAGGCCTTTGTTTTCTCGACTTATGCTCGCCAAATGAACTTCTAGGGAAAGAGAGCACTGCCGAAACCTTGTATAAGTAGGATAAGCATATGTAACTGATAAATCCACAAGTGATTGTCAGGCATGCTTCAGAATAATATCGCAAAATCAAATAATGTTGAGGTCTCACAGGCCAAACAAAGCATTGGATCTTTGAATTGAACGCAAAAGCATGAGCAAATACTTATTAGTTCCATGTGTTTAAAGCTCAGACTTGATGACATAGTTGAAATACTCCCACTTCAATATTTTCATAACCGTGCAGGAAGCAGGCCATTGTCAGGTGGGAAGTCACCTAAGAAGAAACAACAAAAGAAAGCATAAAACAAAGGAAACAAAAAAAAATTAAATTAGATGTATGAGAAAACAATGAGATACAGTGAGCTCAATAACTATCCAACATCACTTCATACATGTAGCGTTGTGCCTTTCAGATATAGAGATAGAGCGCATCAACCATCTAACAATGTATCTCGCAAGCAAATCGTGTACTCTTGGTTAAGACTTGAGGCTCCATTGATAATACATCATGCTATGTGTCCTTTGCATGTTCTGTGGTCAGTGCCATCATACTGGAATCACCATTAACAAATGAGAGAAGTGCAGAATCCACGCGCTATGTCCACCTTTCCGCCCAAAAAGCCTTTATCCCACCTCGGAAGCTGTTCCAGATTAAGAAAAAATTTCCCAGCCGTCTACTTAAAACAGTTCTTCTTTCATTGCCCCTCTCCTTCCCATTTATCATCACTTTAGATCCAAGACCTTGTTTTAGCTATGTTACCATTCTCAAAAAAAAAAAATTGTTTTAGCTGCAAACCTCAAAGAGCAGCGCTACTCCGTTGCAGTTTCACTTCCTCATCATCTGTATAATCCAAATCCTTTATATTCATGTTACCCTGATCATGTGGTCTATTGTTTAACCTTTTACGTTTCAGCATACCCTCTGACTCCTTCATCAAACTGATGTATTTTTTCCTCACTTTTGCTAAAGGATGTTGCGCTATAGCCCCTCTATCACAGTAAGCTTCTTTCAGTATTGCAGTGCAAGTCTTATTATTCAATGACAAATAGAAGATATAAGGATGCCTCTCAAACGCCTTGTGAACTTTTTGTGGCAACCCTAAGTGTTTTCTAAGACACAACAGCTTCTTCCTTTCTGCAGCATGCTCAACAAACAAACTAAGCAACTCGTGAAGCACACCCACCACTCGTTTTTCCGCTATATCGCTGTTTGGATCCAAACCAGAATAATCCTCATAGGGTGAAACATACGGAAGCCTCTGAAACTCATCAAACCAGTCTGCAATCTTCCTTTTAAGTCTCAATCCCTTTGACGGAAACAATGGAAATTCTAGTACCTCACCCTCCACACCACTATACATTCCTCTACTCATTGCATTCCTCTGCATCATCGATAAAAAACTCTCACTTCCATCGACATTAACAGCTAGCCCTTTCAATCCATCTTCCATTTCCACAAGTCTGAAACACTTATCAAGATTGTCTTCTGGGTTACTCAAGAATTCGTCGGGTAAACCCAAATACCATTGCAGACCCTGAATTACCTTTAAAGGAAGCATCTTTTCCCTGCCACTCATCAGTATCAACTTCTTCAGCCTCGAAACGATATCATCTTTAAATTTTACATACACCTCTTTCTCCTGTCTATCAAGCTCAACAGCCCTCTGGGTCAGCTTAAACCAAGGCAAATTGTATTTAGGGCCAGTAAATTCCTCAAAAACAGATGGGTACAACCTCAAGAACCTGGCAACCTTAATGGGTATTCCTAACTCCAAGTCTTTCTTTGAAATTGCAGAAATGGGGACGCAATAATCATCAGGTGAAGAGGAGACTATGCAGTTCTTGAGAGCAATTAAAGGCTTGAGTTGAACTGATCTGTGAATGGTATCAATGGAGTCAAAAAATGAGTCTTTCTTCCATTTCATGTACACATCTACATAGGTCTGCCTCTGGGTGTATGAGCAGGGAAGTGAGTTCCTGGAAGAGAGGACTTCGTGCGAGAGACATACAGAGCTCCTGCTTCTCCTGACGACCATCGCCATCACCTTCTTTATTGTTTCTGTGCGGTTTGACTGTGGCTTTTCAGGTCTTGGGAGAGGCAGCAGGTTGATATTCAATTGAAAATAAAAACACACCGAGTTATATATACTAGCTATCGCTGGCCCGTGCTCTGAGCCAGCTAAGAAGAATATGCAGTTTAATGGAGCTGAAAAGCAGCAATCATCGTACTTCCTGTGGCAAGCTAACACTCTCAAGTGACAGCTGGCTAATATACTTAACTGGTCACCTGGACTCCTGGAGGCCACTATGCTATACTGGCTGCCTCGCCTTTTTGCACCTATCCTTCTTGATGATAAATTTGAAACAATGGCAATGGCTGAATAACCCGCACATATATTCACTGGAAGGCAAAAGAACCTGAACATATTATCCAACATAAGGCTATTGTTTGAAGGAATAACCTCTACGCATATAGAAGGAAGCAGTATTTAAACATGTTTGAAGCGCCAATTGACCAGAAATAGAGTTCATTCACGGTGTCCCCGTAACAAATGACTGTTTTATGAAGATGACCACATATAAGCCCAAAAAAGAGCTAATGGCAAATAAAAAGTGCTGGTTTGGGATGTAAGAAAACAAGACATTTTTAGAGCACCAATTAAGAAATATAAGAGGGAAACACACATGGAAGTGAAGAGCTGATAATTTATAGGAAACAAAGGTCAAGTAAGAAAGAAATTTTATTATATGTTGATATTTATTGGTAATCTATTTTCTTCTAATACTTCACAATCCAAAGAAGCAAAACTGGTTATTGCTGTTGTTGCGAAATAGAGTTCTTGCAATTATTCTTCCATCAGATGCAGGGAAAATCAAGGTTCGAAGTAATTGTAGAAAGACGAAACAAACCAACACCGTCAAAGAAGCTCAAAACCAATTAAAAGATACAAACTCTAAGAAACAACAACTAATGGAGCATGACATACGTTGTAGCCATATACAAAGAACTTTCAACTATTGTAATACATTCTTTCAATTTCAAATGCCAACTGCTATCAGAAACCCAGTACAGAAAAATCGGGAGACAACCCAAAACCATCAATGGAAGCTATGAAACAAGATATGCCATTGCATAGCATAATCTGTAGTCCATATTCTAAGAATTTTCCAGTATAATAATATCACAAAACTCTCAATGTTTAAATGCTTATTCTACTAAGAAACAAAAACCCAGTTCACAAAAAGTAAAAAACAATCCAAAACTATCAGTGGGAGCTGAAAATCATTACAAGACACAAACTGCACGAAACAAAATTTACCGTTGCATAGTACAAGCTGTAGACCATATTCTAAGAATTTTCCAGTATAATACCACACAATTTCAATGTTCAAAAGCCAACAACTAAGAAACAGAAACCCAGTACATAAAATCCAAGAAACAATCCAAAACCAATTAAAAGACACAAACTTTACAAAACGACATTTACCCTTGCATAGCATAAAGTGTAGTCCATATTCTAAAATTTTCCAGTGTTCAAATTCTTATTTTACTAAGAAACAAAAATCCAGTTCACGAAAAGTCAGGAAACAATCCAAAACCAGCAGTATAAGCTAAAAGACACTAACTTTATGCAAGAATCATCAACTTCGTCTATACGTATAATCCCTAATAGTACTTACCGGACACCGGCGGAATTCGAGGCAAAGCTGAAGAACGGAACGGGATGGGCTGCGAATGGGAGAAAAGAAAAATGGAAGAGGAAAAACCACAAAAGCTCAACAGATAAACAAATTTAGAGTTATTATTTATCCCCAAAATTTACCTTTTCTACTTCAGTCTAGAAAAAGAAAAATGGAAGAGGAAAAATCACAACTTCCACAAGGGGGAAGAGATGTTTTGATAATTTTTAGAAAAAGCTCAGCATTTTCCAATTAAAAAAGTTTGCACGAAACGTTTTAAATAAAATTGGAAATCGTCCATAACTCGCCTCGCAAGTTATTACTCTTCAGAAAACGATGGGTTATTCTTGAAAAAAGAATTAACCTAAATAGTTATCCACCAAATCACATAAATTAAAATAGTCACGAATATATGATACATGTATTATGCATATATAATATGTATAATACATATATATAATCTACTTGTATCGACTAGTAAAAGTAAACTTCGTCCTCTATTTGTATCAAAATATCCTCGTTGAAATAATCCCAAAGAGGAAGTAGTTTTTTTTTTTTTTTAGTTTCTGTTATTGTGACGGATCTACTATCTTTGAGCCGAGGATATCATCCCGGAAACAGCCTCTCTAACCAAGGTCAGTATATATTCTACCCTCTTCATACCCCAATATTAAGATTCTACTAGGTTATTGTCGTTGTTGCAACAAGTTTTTGGGATTACGTTAAGTTTCTTTTGAAGGCCCATTCAAAATTATCCTTTGACTTCTAGGCCCAAACTGAATTTCAAGTCCATAGCGAAAATAGCGCAGAAAATAGCTCAACGACGTTGAACGTTTCCAGTGTCCGCCGTGCAACTACTTCTCAAAAGTTTCACCATATTCAACGAAGAAGAAGATCATTATTGTTGGGACTTCTCCTCTATTCTGATTAATCACTTCATCGCAGTAAGTTGCCCCTTAACCCCTCCTTCTTCTGTTATCTATATGTTACTACTATATATGCATGGAAACATAAGAGCAGGATGTTCATTTGAGGAAATATGAATAGTTGGCATGCAAGTTATTTGCTTCTTTTCAGCGAGGGCGATTTACTTGACGAGTTTAACCTTTAATATTCTTAGCACTAAACTCATTATATTTTTGAAATTATAGGTTTGGGTTTAATAATTGTCAAAATTTTAATAAATTTTCACATACATATCTATAATCCCTGGTTCGGTTGAGCTCAAATTGTGCAAAAACTCCATCAGCCACAGCTTTTCACAACGTTAGTTATGGCTACTTTGTACTCGTTTCTTCATGATGTGTTGTAGATCTTATTAGTACTGTGTTTAATTTGCTAAAGCTGCTTAAAGTTCATTTTTGGTCTTAAATAAATGGTGCAAAATAGATTTATAAAGGATCTATACTATAGTCCCCAATTATACCTAGCCAATGGCGGAGCTAGGATTTTGATAAGGGGATTTTTAGAAAATCTAAAAATGTTAATGGTATTCAAAATTGTATATATGTTTAAAACAAAATTAATTTTACCTTATTAAGCGGTGAAACTTTGTCTTATTGGTTTTTTGGTTATGTAGCAGTTGTTGGAGTTTGACAATGGCACTGAAGTACATTGTTGGTTCTGTGGTTGCATCATTTGCATTTGCATACGTTTGTGACACTGCTACTTCTGACCATAAGTTGTTTGGAGGCAAGTTTCTATTCCTCTGTTTAGCTTTGGATTGAGACATACACTATAGATATTTTGTTCTTCTTTTCTGCTTAAAGTCACTTGTGGCATTTAATTTAAAACAGGTACTACTCCAAAGACAGTTGCTACCGATGAATGGTGGAAAGAGACGGACAAAAAATTCCAGGCGTGGCCTCGTACAGCTGGTCCTCCGGTGGTTATGAACCCCATCAGACGCCAAAATTATATTGTCAAGTCTTGACTCAGAAATTAAAGTTCATTTAACCCCATGTCTTTGTTCTGCTACATTTGTTTCGAATCGTACCAGTTTTCTAGTCTGAGCCAGGATATGATCTGCTGCCGAATTTCTACTTCTTTGCCGTTTCCCATTAAGATAAAAAATTGTCATCGTTGGATTGTAATAATGTTTCTTCAGTTTGTTTCCCATGGGTACAAACATCATCTGCTGGGCTAATATGAGTAATTGCTTATGTTTTGGCTTTTTCTATTAAAACTTTTTGGCTCTCTGCTCAACTTAGCGTCAGTATATATCTTGATATATTACAATCTTTATTAAAGGTTTTTGTTCGCCTGCTTCCTCAATCATACTCGAGTAGTAGCTTAGTGGTTGAGTTCAAGACAAAACATCCTTCTAACCTATGTGTAGCTATCGATATATATTAGACATTGCTCAAGAGAAAAGAAGTCCAAGCTGAAACTGTTGACTGTTAGATCTTCATCTACCCGAGAGATTAGCACATAAAACAAGAATCGACTAGCGATTAAGCAGAACAAATTATGAATCTTTTACAGTTGGAGTAAAATTACTAAACAAACCAGCATCTACGGCAAAAGAACTAGCTAGTCCAAATCACAATATTTGGCACGGCAAACTGAGAAAAACTACTGCTATTTTCATACCAATACATCTGATGGAAGATCATTCAACTTTAGGCAAATGCAAATTCAAGAATCTATATATACAAGTATCTCCAAAGGAATATATACACCATTACCTACAACTTGCAATTATCTTCTTTATAAATGTATGGGCCAAAATCTTTCTTTAGAATATTTAAGCCAAGATAATACTAAGGGAAGAGTTCCCAAGTCGTCGTTTGTCAAGATGGCCCAAGAAGCAGCAAAGTCTGTGATCGAAGAGTCAACGAGAGCCGTAGTCGAGGTGTCAACAAGGGACGGGGTCGAGGTCGAGTACCGTTGACAAAGCTGTAATGACTAGTTTTCAAAATAGGATATTAAAGAAAATATTCTAGTGGATATTTTCTGCACTTGTACTATTAGGGTTTTTTAGGAACATGTCTCATATAAAGAGAAGAAGAGACAATGATAGGGGCATGTGAAACTCATTTGTAAAAGCACATACTTTGACTTGAGAAAGAATATCAGATCTCATTTGTTAAGATACAAACATCAGCTTTTCACTAAGATTCTTGTTTATGCTTTTTCAACCGATCCAAAAATAATTCGAATATTCAAAGAATTGTCTATCACTCTTCTTTGTCAAAAAGAAGATCCACTTATTCCATCCTTTATTGGGTGAATCATCCCTCCTATTTACTTAAATATCATTTATTGTTGTTCATTATTATTGAATGCTACATTATTGCTCATGATTTCTAGAACATTTATTATATGTTATTGTCACTGTCTATCCAGACCCACACGATATTTATTGCTTCTTTAAAAACCTCATCTAAGGATATTATTGTTATCTAAGATTAACCCTTATTTACATAAATTTAATTATTTGAACCAAGATCTATATTTTTTGGTCAAATAATTTGGCGTCGTTTGTGGGAATTGCTTAGTTAAATTTTTAGTTTTCTCCAGATCTATAAATAACACAGGTCACTAACATAAAAAAAAATCCCAAGATCTCCTTTCTTTGTGTACACAAAATCTTACATGGCAGGTAACCAAGGAGAAAGGACGAGAATAACAAGTGACTTCCCAACTAACCTCATAAATGTCATCAACGAAAGCTGTGAGACAATACGCGAGAATACGACGCTCAGTGTGTCCCCTAGGCAAGAACGGTCACCGCCTCCACACTGCAGCATAACAAAACCCAGTGGTAAATGGGCCTCCACGTCTACAGAGGAAGGGACACCCTCTGCTGTGAAAAAACTCCTCGAAGCATGGCTAACTGACACTCTAACAAGCGTCCTCAACAAACCCGCTCTAGGCACGACTGCAGAAACCGCAAGGACTTGCACGATGCACCAAACAGACGAGCAGTACAACCAACCCCTCCCTCCAACGACAGTTATAAATTACAATGTTACTGATAGTGCAGGTGATAACGCACTCGCTGCTATTCTAAAAAGAATGGAAGAAATGGAGAATGAAAACAAGGCTCTTCGAGACCAGATGAAAGAACACCAAGACCGAATTGATAAGATACCAGGCGCTCCTAAGCTTCTACCAAAAAGGGACGCCGGTAGGTTCAAAGAACAACCGTACAGCGATGGCGCAGCCCTGCACGCCATACCGAAGACCTTCAAAATGCTACCCTACCTAAAGATATACGAAGGAATGACTGATCCGGAAGATCACGTGATTCACTACGTCACCGCCGTGAAAGGCAACGACCTCGCCAAAGAAAAAGTCTCCTCCATTCTGCTGAAGAAGTTTGGCGAAACCCTCACATGAGGGGCATTAACATGGTATTTGCAGCTACCAGCCTACTCCATAGAAACTTTCAAAGAAATGGCCGATAAGTTCGTAACCACCAATGCTAGAGCTAAGAAGGCCGAGGCAAGAGTAAACGACATATTTGCTATCAGGCAATCCTTGGGTGAGGGACTAAGGGACTTCCTCGCCCAGTTCAACTGAGTAAGGATGACTCTGCCAAATATATCCAAAGGGATGGCAATCGCAGCCTTTTAGAACGGGCTGAGCAGAGATGGTTCAAGAGCAACTAGAAAACTGTTGAGCTGATTGATAAAGTATCCTCCAACTATTTGGGACGAAATCCATAATGCTTATTGCGCCGAGGTCCGAGCAGATAAGGACGAACTCAACGGGCCGACTCACCGACTAACCTCAGTACAAGCTGAATCTAGAAAAGATCAAAAGGACCGCACCAGAAGAGATCATCCAATTCCGTGACCTAATAGGGAACGACATTAACCATATATTAGGACGACCGCTGCACCCTCCCTCTGCTACGAAGAAGGCCCGCCCAGGCCAAGGACGAGAACTCATCAGAACAAAAGAGGTATGCCTCGCTTATTATCTACTCACAATTTTTGTGTGTCACCTACATAGATCGTCTATGCTCTGGAGAAACTCGAACTGAAAGTAAAGTGGCCGCCAAAGATGAGATCAGACCCGAACACTAGGAAGTCTGACGCCCTCTATGAGCTCCACCAGGAACGCGGGCACAAAATCAAAGATTGCATCACCCTTAGACAGGAAGTCATAAACATGTTATGACAAGGGCACCTCAAAGAATTGTTAAGCAAGAAGGGGAGGACCAACTTCGCCAAAGGACGTGAACATCATGGCCCGCCAAAGCCACCATCACCAGATCGTACCATCAATATGATCATCGGCGGCAGCGACGATGCCTCTGTCAATGGCGTGAAGTTCACCACCACTCACAAACTCAAGTGGTCTCACCCGCGAACGGTATTACGGACTCGAAGAGAGTATCATCTTCGACGAGTCAGATGCCGACAGCTTGACTTTCCCTTATAATGATGCCCTTGTTATTACTTTACGCATTTTAGATATCGATGTCAAACGCATCATGGTGGATGATGGAAGCGGTGCATGTATTATCCATCCCCGAGTCCCTACCCAAATAAGGCTCGAGGATAAGATAGTGTCGCATTGCATCATATTAACCGATATTAGCAATGCAGTTGAGCGAACATCCGGGGAAATTACGCTCCCCGTCTTGGCCAACGACGTAACTCTAGATACAACATTCCACATCATGGACCAGGCCACCGCATACAATGCCATAGTGGGTCTACCACGGATACATCCCATGAGAGTCGTCTCCTCCAGCTTATACCAAGTAATTAAATTCCCAACCCCATGGGTAATATTCAGTATACGCGGAGAACAACGCATATCCCGGGAATGCTACCGCATTGCCTTAGACAACATGGCCACCCAACAAAGAAAAAGAGGAATAGCAATCAGCAGGGTCGAGGCCGGAGCACGATAAGACCAGGGACGACATCAAAGACCCTACATGGTCGAGGCTACAAGATCGACCATAGAAGACCTCGACCCCGTTCAATTGGACCCCAAAGACCATAGCAAGAAGGCCTATATCGGTTGCAAACTTCAGGATCCAGGTAAATTCAGTTAATTCTTACTAGCTAACGCAGATTTATTTGCTTTCAGCCATGCAGATATGCCAGGCATCCCAAAGGAAATCGCTACGCACAAATTAAACGCCGATCCACTCCACCCCTAGTGAGACAGGTCAGGCATAAATTTAACTCCACAATTAATAACGCAGTGCGCGGGGAGGTGGAAAAACTGTTAGAGAACGACTCCATCAGGGAGTCTAAGTACCCCAAGTGGATCGCCATTGTAGTAATGGTCAAAAAGCAAAATGGGAAATAGCGGATGTGCGTGGACTTGACAGATCTGAACAAAGCATGTCCGAAGGATTCATTCTCGTTACCTCATATCGACCAACTCATCGACGCAACGACCGGGCACGAATTATTAAGTTTTTTGGATGCTTACTCGGGTCATAACCAGATCCTGATGGAAGAAGAAGATCAGGAAAAGACCACATTCATCACCCACCAAGGAACGTATTGTTAAAGGGTCATGCCGTTTGGGCTAAAGAAAGCGGGGGCTACGTATCAAAGATTGGTAACGAGGATGTTCAAAGACCAGCTCGGCAAAACCATGGAGGTATACATAGACAATGTGCTGGTAAAATCCAAAAGGGAAGAGGATCACATCGATCATTTGAAAGAAACTTTCGACATATTCAAAAGATATGGAATGAAGCTGAACCCAGAGAAATGCGTGTTTGGCGTAGCCTCGGGAAAATTCTTGGGTTTCCTGGTATCGCAGCGAGGGATCGAGGTCAACCCCGACCAAATTAAAGCTACCGAGGGGATACCATAACTCTTGACCACCAAAGAATAAGCCCAGAGATTGACTGGTCGCATCGCCGCCCCATCAAGGTTCATATCGCGGTCATCGAATATGTGCCATAAATTCTTTGGCGTACTCAAGAAATACAACGACCTCGAATGGACTTCCGAGTGCATCCAGCCTCTACAAGAACTAAAGGCATACCTTTCATCATCGCCCTTGCTTTCGAAACTCGAACCTGGAGAGCAGCTCCTCGTCTATCTAGCCGTATCCGAAGTAGCAGTAAGCGCATACTTGATCCACGAAAACAAAGGTACGCAATCTCCCATCTATTACATTAGCAAAACACTCATCGATGCCGAGACGAGGTACCCATACCTCGAAAAATTGGCTCTGGCCATGGTCGTA